ATATATATATATATATATATGTATATTAATTATACATATTATATTAATTATATTAATCCTTTCCACTGGAGAGGCGACTGTCAGTCACCACTGTCACCTGTATAATATTAAATAAATAAATAGATAAAAAGATAAATAAACAAATAAATTAAATAAATAAAATGAAATAAAATTCATAAGATAATTTGAAATAAATATAAAATGAATTTTTTTTAAATATATAAGAGTTAGAAAAAATTATTTTTTTAAAAAAAATAGAACAAATACATCTAATGTTATAAAAGAAAAGAATGATGAAATCTAAAATCATCTCTTTTTAAAAAACTAATCTCAATAATTCGGTGATATATTATTTGCTGCGGAGCACTTTTCGATCCACTTGTGTCATTCTAATCATTTAAGATACCCGGTGAATCTTTAATTTTAAATACCACTCTTTTTTCTACCTAAAACTGTTCGAACGCTATTAAGTTTGTTTATATTCTCCCCCTCTCCTTCCACTTATCAATGATTGAGTTGTAAATAGAGAATATGTTTGTCTTCAGCGATAAAAATGTTTGTTTAATAAAAAGTCAAAAGAAGGCAGCGTTTTCATTAAAAAAAGACCTCTCACATTGGATTTTGGCGATTTTATGTTGAGGCCAACGAAGCCAACCTTTGCCAACGCAACTGAACGCTTTTCAACACCTTAGCAAGTGTCAGTTTCTAAATTATCCTTTAAATGTGGACGATCTCACAGCATATATTCGTTACTTAGTCGGCGCTTGTTTGGATTTAAAAAAAAAAACATTTTAATTGTGAGGAAAATTTCCTATCTAAATTTTGGTAAGCTATAGTTTAATTTTGTACTTAAAAAAAGATATATCTGATAATGTGTTATTTTTGTATATTTTAATAGTACTGCAGTTAGAAATAGGAATATTAATAGAGAGTAAGTAAAGTAAAAGTTTTTTAAAATAATTATCTTTATTTGCGCAAAAGATTTTAACTTCATTTGTCTCTAAAAAGTACTTTATACGTTAATATATTTTCAAAGAAACACTTGTTTTAAAGCCGAAAAAGTAAGAAATTAAACTTTGAAGTAGTAATTGCACCATAGTTCCTACGGCTTATATTTTTGTTATCTATTATTTCAATTTTAAAACACAAGTAATTTTATTTTAAACTTTATTACAAAATATTATCCCTTCATAATATTTAATGAAATTAATCTTCATTGAACAAAGTGTCCTATTGAAAGCAAAAACGAAGACGTAAATTATGACATATTGTTATGTAACTACCAAGATTTAAATAATAATAATTTAAGTGAAATAGATTAAACTCCAGATAATATTGAAAGCTTCCAATCGAATCAAGATTTCATTCATACTTAAAAAATTATATTTGTAAAAAATTAAATGGAAGTAACATTTTTTTATCTTTTAAGTTAACAAAAATTTAATACTTATCTTTCACTTTCTTTAAATAAATATTAAAGAAATAATTATAAATAATATTAATATTATAATTTCTTTATTATTTAAATAAATATTAAAGAAATAATCATAAATAATATTAATATTATAATTTCTTTATATTTAAATAAATATTATAGAAATAATTATAAATAATATTAAAGAATAAATATTAAAGAAAGTGAAAGATAAATATTACATTTTTGTTAACTTAAAACATAAAAAATTCTTACGCCCTTTTAATTTTTTACAAATATAATTTTTTAAGTGTAAATGAAATCTTTACATTCGTGTGATCAAGTAAAAATTGGAAAATAATAATTTTAATTTCTGGGGACTATTTACATTTGTACTTTGTAATTACTTTTTGTTTTTCTTGAAAAAAAAAGAGATTTATGTACAATTCATTCAAATTGTGTGTATCTATAGTGTATTTTTAAAGTGTATGGTAAATTTTTAAATTATTGCATTGTATTTCTTGCAATGGTGAGTTGAATGCGAGTTGATATCCTGCATTTGGTTGCATTTTAAATTATTAAAATTCTTTATTTTGCTTTTATGGATAATACTAAATAAGTTTCAAAAGTATGAGACAGTATACATGCTGATTCTGTTACAAAACAAACAAAGTAAAGATCTCTGGCGATGAAAATATTACTTACAATTTTTTTAATAAGTTGTTATAACAATCAAAACAGATTTATTTATAAATCACAGAATATTTTTTTAGCTGTTTTTGACTGAAGAGGCATATAAACTAGTAGATAAAAAATAAAGCTTTTTTTACCACTTTTTACTTTTCTATCGAAATTTGAAATCTTTGTTATAGCTTCTTTGATAAAGTACCACAGTTGGATAAATTTCAGATCTCGGCTTTAGGCTGCCAACTATCTACGCTTTTCGTAAAAAAATATTATAGAGTCGTAGACAATCAACATGATGCGTGGCGTTTTTAAAAAGTGCTTAAAGGTGCTGAGTTTCGTTTTTTTAAAAGTCCTTAAAGGTGCTTTTTAATTGAGTGTTTTTTAAAAAGTAGTTAGTATTCTATTTTCGAAAATGAGATTTTTTTCAGGTCGATTTTCGGCTCGTAATATGCAAAAGCCTGGTTTTCATATTGTTCTATTCAACGTTTTCTCAATTCATTCAAGCACAGTGCATTTCAGCGTACCGTCGGTCCGTAGCGTATGAAAGCGCCAATCATTTTACGTGTTTGATGAAATACTTACGGGTCAGCATGTGCATATACTGAGCTGGGTTCGGTGAGATTATTTCACTCTCGCGTCCAACTTTGCTGCATTTTGCAAGATATTCTCAATTTCAGACTTAATTTTCAATCCTCTGAAATACCGAAAAATCTCTCCATCTTTTTATGGTGACTCATGTAATCGAGAAAAGAATTCTTTGTCAGAAACTGGTTATTTTATCATGATCATGTGAAGTCTTTGAAAATTATTTTGCAATTTTTTGAGTCGCATCAGTTCACACATT